GTGGGACACTCTTGTAGGACACTCTTATGTGACACTCTTGTCGGACAAGTCTTGTGGGACACTCTTGTAGGGCACTTTTGTGGGACACTCTTGTGGGTCACTCTTACAGGACACTCTGTCAAACACTCTTTGTGGACACTCTTGTGTAGGAAACTCTTCTGGAACACTCTTGTAGGACACTCTTGTGGTACACTCTTATAGGACACTCTTGTGGGGCACTCTTGTAGGACACTCTTGTGGGACACTCTTGTAGGACACTCTTGTGGGACACTGTTGTGGGACACTGTTGTAGGACACACCTGGGGGTCACTCCTACAGGACACTCTTATAGGACAATCTTGTGGGTAACTCTTGTGGGACACTTTTGTTGGACACTCTTGTGGGACACTCTTGTAGGGCACTCTTGTCAGTCACTCTTACGGGACACTCTAGTAGGATACTCTTGCGGGGCACTCTTATTGGACACTCTTGTGGGACACTCTTGTGGGGCACTCTTGGAGGACACTCTTGTGGGACACTCTTGCGGGACAGTCTTGTAGGACACGCTTGTGGGTCACTCGTAGGACAAATTTTGTGGGTCACTCGTGTCTCTTGTGGGACACTCTTGTAGGACACTCTTATGTGACACTCTTGTCGGACACTCTTGTGGGACACTGTTATAGGACACTCTTGTAGGACACTCTTGTGGGTCACTCATACAGGACACTCTTGTAGAAAACTCTTGCGGGACACTCTTGTGGGACACTCTTGTGGGTCACTCTTGTAGGACACTCTGGTCAAACACTCTTGTGGGACTCTCTTCTTGGACTCTCTTCTTGGACACTCTTGTGGGACACTCTTGTCGGTCACTCTTACGGGACACTCTTGTAGAAAACTCTTGTCAATCACTCTTAGGGGACACTCTTGTAGGATACTCTTGTGGGACACTCTTATAGGACACTCTTGTGGGGCACTCTTGTGGGACACTCTTGTAGGACACACCTGTGGGTCACTCCTACAGGACACTCTTATAGGACACTCTTGTGGGACACTTTTGTTGGACACTCTTGTGGGAAATTTTTGTAGGGTACTCTTGTAGGACACTCTTGCGGGACACTCTTGTGGGACACTCTTATGGGTCACTCTTACAGGACACTCTTCTGGGACACTCTTCTAGGACACTCTTGTAGGACACTCTTGTGGGACACTCTTTCGGGACACTCTTGTAGGAAACTCTTGTGGGACACTCTTACGGGACACTCTTGTGGGACACTCTTGTGGGACACTCTTGTAGGACACTCTGGTCAAACACTCTTGTGGGGGCTCTCTTCTGGGCCACTCTTGCAGGACACTCTTGCGGGACACTCTTGTGGGACACTCTTGGGACACTCTTACAGGACACTCTTGTAGGACAATCTTGTGAGACACTCTTGTAGGACACTCTTGTAGGACACTCTTGCGGGTCACCCTTATGGGGCACTCTTGTCAGACACTCTTGTGGGTCACTCTTACCAGTCACTCTTGTAGCAACAGAATG